TATAAATGAGCAGCAGATTAGCACCAGATGAAAAAATCTGTTCTGCTAGAGAGCTAATCTGTTTAGTCAATGGCCGGTTTTGTCGTGCCTTTACAGTGAGGTCCAACAGCTCTGCTCTCCCTGTATTTGGAATTTCAGTCAAAATCAACGTGTCAGTTTGGATCGCGTCTTTGTCCTCTCAGATGACTGACCCCCCCTCTCCAGCAGCTCTGCCGCGCTTGTGCCTGACGCAGGCAGCACGGCTGTACCAGGCAGGGCTCTGCCGGGCTGCAGCCGGGTATCAGGCAACGCAGAAAGCAAGCTGTGAGAAGGGTAAAGATGAGGACTTAAACAAGAAAAGACTCCAGAAAAAACCAAAGTGGATCCAACAGTTTCCAACGCCGAGGGAAGAACTGGGGAGAAGGGAGGAGGCTGTTCTGCTGAAACGAGCAGCTGCATGTGCATCACACTGGCTTCAAGGCACAAAAATAGGTCTGGCTGTTTCCAGCATCCCGTGGCCGAAAGGGCGGTGGAAGATCAGCATCTCCCACTTGCCTGTCATGGTTTCTACCAAGGGCAGTCACACGTGGCAATCCAGTTTGAACTCTGTGGGACTGTCGGGCACTGTGAGGTTAAAAGGAAGAGGAGGGATCACGGGAACGCACAGGCTGCACGCAGCTCTCCCTGTGCCGTGCCAGGCTGGTACGAGGGAGCACAGGCAACAGCCTTGGCACGGGACTGGGAGCTCATTTTGCCTGAGTTTTAATCCCAACTAAATCATCGAATCCTCTCTGTGATCTCTGACAAGCTACAGAATGTACATGTAGAAAAGTCTTATTAGTCCACATAATCCAGTTCTCTACAATATAGGATTAACCTGTAATCTTTATTCACTAGTATTTCATGAGATGCAGCTTCTGACACTCTACCTGTAGTACAATTCTGCAGTCCAGTGTTCTCACAGTCAGGGAAGTTTTCAGTTATGTTGCTTTAAGATGAAATATTAAAAAAATCTCCCGTTGTTATTTCCCCCTCCTGCTCATATCATGAAGAGCAGCACTGGAAAATCGGTCTTCTAAGTCTTAACACATCTAAACAAAAAAGGATCAAGGTAAACAATTCTGCCTGTAAACAGAGCTGTTCAGAAATAAGCTGCGTTAGTGATATCTCGTCCTGCCGTGCAGGCAGCTGTCCTAGAGGCAGGTTATATTTGTCCCCATCTTCTCTCTGATCCACCATTACCTCCTGCTAGAGCAACTGATCTTGACCCAGAGCTGTAACCCAGTAGCCAGAGTAACAGCAAATACCTTGTATAAAACAAAATGCTCTTATCTGTCCATAGGAACATTAAAAGAGCCAGAAAAAAATGACAGAACCCTAAAACTGATAACTTACCTAAACTAAATTTTTCTCGGTAGTGTAAGTATGTGCCAGTTAAGCGAGGTACTAAAAGCTATTTGGCTGCACGGGGCAGGTTGCCCTTTACAAGTGCTCCCACTTACAAGTGCAATTCCCCTTTCCTTTGAGTCTCTACTTTTCATCTGCATATTGGTTAGAAAGTTCCTACTTGAGAGCCCCCGGGGTTTCTTGCGGGGGTGTTTCATCTCACCTCATCCATTTATCCTGGTGTTACCCTCCGTTCCGCACCCTCGTAGGCGATGCCTCAGGTACTGGCCATTTGGTTGCACCTGTAGTCATTGTGCTGCATATCTACAATCCAAAACTTAACACAAGCTGATTTAAACTGGAATGTTTGTAAATATTAGAAAAAGCTCAAAACCAAACCAGCTATTTTCGTATCCGTGCTTTATTCCCAAAATCTTTAAGACTTTACCTGTATTAGTAAATTAAACATTCCCAGGAACATTCCCAGGCACTGAAATACTTGATATGGAGTAGCCTATGCGTGTGCTTGCAGGCAAGGCAGGATACAGCAATTACATACAGATTCCATACAAATACAATTAGACAACTGAATCAGCCCTAGTATCTCTCACTAATGGTGACCTGAGAGATCAAATTAAGCTACGTTTTCTTTGGAACACATGTCAAAAATTACATCAATGAATAAGAATAACAAAATACTACCATCATCTAAATGCACGCGACTTTTACTAGTGTGCAAAATATCTCCTCTATACACCAAAGCAAAATGAAGACATGGGAGTTATCTCTGCAAGGACTTGGTTCGGCTCCAGATTGGAGACACCTAAAACTGGTGTCTAACTGCAGGTGTTTTTGTGTGAGCTGCACTCTGTGTTCTCACTGTAGCCAATGGGTATGTATTCAGTACAGCCCAAGGACCTAGTCAGCAACTTGACTAACCAGACACAGGAATTTGTCTTTAGGGAAAACTAAATTGCTCTCCAGACTCTATTGGCTGTATTAATTAGACAACTAAATCCTACGCGTGATGTCTCTAGGCTCTGTCTTATATACATTTAGACAGATGGTATGGTCTGTGCAAGATAAAGGCAAGGCTTTCGTACTGCCCACAGAACTCTCCCCAGTGCAAGTGTCAGATCTGTCCCCAGAAGCCTTGTGTTTTCACCTACAGTTTTGTCTGAGTTGTTACCAGTGTCTGTGGTCCCAAGGGCCTCCTTACCTTTTTACAAACAAGAAGACTGCACTTGCTTGGATCCTTGATTTCTTTGAATGCTTGATCTGCCAAATTATCAACCAAGTCTACGAAAACTCAAGAATATAGCATAAAAACTAGCCATGGTCAGGCAATCCACCGTCATCTCTCTGAGAGGTCGGAGAAGAGTTCTGGAGGTGATTCTATTGTTTCAGCAAGCATGGTGAATCTGATATCAGAGCTACCAAACAGAAAAAACTAGTACCGTTGGTTAATTCAAACAGCACTATAATGAGGAGTGTTTTCTTGAAAAAAATCATCAAAAGAGTGACATGATTTGTTTGTGTACTTTCAGCACGTCATATTGGTTTTGCTGGGCTATCCAGAAATGTCTTCAGTTAAGAAGCAGCTGGTATTTTCTTCACAGACACAAGCCTTTTATCTTGCTGAGTAATCTTTTAAACAAATTAGCTCACCTATTGCATAAATAAAATATTGTTGCCTGTAGAGGTCTAAAGTGATTTCTGTGTAATGTTTTGTTGACAAGTTGACTTATTTCATTTGACTCTTTTGTACTCAATTTCTTATCAGTTAATGAAACTGCTACACTGCTGTGGTTAATTTACCCATTAATTCATTTAATTCTTTATGGAATTAAGGAAAACAGCTTATTATATTATACAGAAATAGGTTGTGAATTAACATACCTCATTACATATTCATTGCTGTCTATATAGATATTCATCTACAATGCCTAAGTGAAGTCCTATGGTTTGGCTGTCCTATAAATCACCTCTAACTAGACGATCATGAATGACCAAAACATTTTTTGCAGATGTGAAAAACCTTTTTTGCCTTTAAAATTGCCACGATAAAAAACGAAAGATGGTTATGACAGATCTGGGTCACTATGACAATGTGATGTGCACTGGAAAGATGTTAGAAGCAGCAATGTATAGACTTATTTTAGAGACAGCAGATACAAAGGACCTCCTTGGTTGCCAGGTCTCATTCCTTTCTATCAAGTCATATGATGTCTTTAGTAAAATGATCAAGCTCCATCTTCTGTTGTGATTAGAAACCTTTTATTAGTTTGTGGTTCATGTTTTTTTAATGGATAGTTCATCTTTGGGTTTTTTATTTTGTTGTTTGTTTTTTTTTCTTGGGGCTGCATCTTTTTCAGTTTGACTTTATTCTTTTTCACATAGGCATGATTTGAGTCATGTGCAGCATTCCAGATGAGGCCGTAGCGGTGTTGTGCACAGTGCATTAATACTTTTTTAATTCGCTTGAGACTGCCCCGAATCACGTTTGTCACAGCCTTGTGACTTTAACAGCCATAGTGACCAAGGTACCTAGTACATTCTCCTCTGTTGTTTCCAACTGGCAAGACCCATAGCTGAGATTAATGTTTATATTCAAGGGTACGATCTCACACTTTGTCCCACTGTTCCTTTTGGGACACAAATCTAGCATTTTGTATTATGTGAGAAATTTCAGTAAGAAGAATTTAAATTAAACTTTTTAAAATGTGAACTTCTAAAAACCTTACTGAGATAAGTGTCATGATAAAAAACCTTATGATTGCTCAAACACTAGGGGCTCAGTTCAGTTACCCACACATCAGTGTCTAATCCTATAGGAAGGCCACCTGGCCTCCAGCAGCTTCTTGAGAAGGACATTGGCTCCCCATTTGTCACAGCTGCTGTACCTGTGCAAATGTTCAAGTATCTGGCAGGTAGACAACTGAATCTTGCCCTAGGGATGAGATTCAGGTCCAGACTCAGATCATAACCATCAGGTTACATCTTCAGTCTAGGTATCTACAAGCAAATTATGTGTCCAAAGCTGTCCTTAAAGTCATTAGATAAAAGAGCAAGTGGGTTCTAGGGTGCACTGTTTAACTAACCAGATGTGAAAGAGAAAATGTGGAAGAGTTGAAAGAAGTAGTAAATTCCCATTGAAACAAGCAAGAATGAGGTTGCTTGCTAAAGGCTTTTTGATGTTTCAGTTGAAAAAAATAAAACCATTTGCACCACAGTAAGGAAGAAATGAGAAATAATGATGATGGTAATGTACATCTCCCATTTCTTCATTTTTGTTCTTTAGCTGTCCACTAAGGCAGTAATGTTGGAAGACAGAATATGAATGAATCTGAACAAGTCAATAGTAAGTGAGAATTTCAAGCTAGTGTAATTCAGCCCGGAAGGCAGGGCTCCTCTACCATTTATTCTTGTTGTCTTCAAGGCTCCTTATGTAAATATTTGGGATTTTGGCAGGGTGCTTTCTCTTTGTTATTGAAGTGAAACATTTGCTGCAAGCATACTGAATGAAGTCTGCTTCATAATTATTTGCAGTAACAACTCAGCAACGGAGACTTATGGTTGTAAGACTGCCAATTCTGTATTAATGTGATCTTCCTTTCTCCCTCTCCCGGCTGCAGCAAGCACGTGGTTGGTGTAGGAAGTCTGCAAAGCAGAACAAACAACCATATCCATCTGTGTCAACAGATTCCCACTTCACCACTCTGCCAGCCGTTCTTCCTCAGAGCCACCGATCTGTCCCTGAACAGCCAAAAGAAATGGGTCAAAACAAGTTACATCACGCAAATGGCCTTGGTCATCATCTTGGTTTCTCCCAGCAGGACTTGAGACACAGTGAACGAGGAGACTTCACACGTAGATCCAGCAGTGCCTCCAGCATTTCATGGTCATTTCAACGAAGCAAGTCTCTGTTCTGCTTGCCCACAGTGAACTCCTCCTCAGCCTCAGAGGCTTTTCATTTCAGTGAACCGTTTCAGTTTTTAAATATTGGGTCACCTGCAACCAGGTTAAAAACGTGGAGATGCAGCCCCAGGCTTAACATTGATGACTTGGAGGGTGCCCAGGAGACTGATGTAGACACAGGGATGAAGCTGTCCTTCTCAGACCTGTCTGTGGTCTCTGCATACACTGCCCTTAATGGATTTTGCAATGACTTGGAAGCCTCTCTTCCCCCACAGAAGCAAACTATCAGTAAGACTAAACAGGCAGGCACCAGTGGAAGACCTGTATCAGCCATGTGCAATACCTTTGAGTCAGTTGATGGTTCACTGCCTTCTCTCTCTGAGTGGTCTTCCAGCTCATTCACATCAGCATCTCTCTCCAAGCAGCCCCAACAGTCCTTGAGGGCAGCTCCCTGTTCTCTGGATGATCGTGGTAGTGTTTGCCCAGCTTCACCAGCTAATGAAGAAGAATTTTACATCTGAGGTTTCTCTATCTTACACCTTCCAAGGCAAACATGTTCTACTTGTGGATGACTTGAGCTTGCAGAAGATTCCTCACTAAGGGGAAGGTGATGCAGCAGAGTTTGCTAAATATTTGAAGAAAGGATTCAGATCCCTCAGAGATGGGCATCCCCAAACTATGTGCAGTAAAGCAGTCTGAGGTTGCACCCTGTACATTTGTGCTGGAGGGTATGATCAGAGGCTTGTCCATGGCAGTGCAAGGTGTATGGTTTCTATGACTGATCCTTGGACTAGTGGTGAAGGAAATGCCAGAAAAGGCACATAATAATCCAGTTTTCAGTGGCAGAAACTGAAGAGTAATTTGTGACACCAAACTGCTTTAACTTTTCTGAGAAATTCCCTTAACTCAGAAAAGATGGGAGGAGAAAGGGGTCTTTCCCTTTCACAAGTTCCAAAGGCAGCTCTAAGCACAGCAGGGCCCAGTAACATGTCTCCAGTAGAGTCAGGCAAGACGTTTCCTGTGAGGACACACAGAGTTCCTTCTAACTTCTGAGAGCTGGCAGTGCTGAGTTGGGAAGAAGCTTCACTCCTTCCCCAGGGAAGAGGAAGCTCCACCATATCTGTTACTTTGACAGCCCAGGATGCGGAAAGTGCCAAAAGGGAAACCTTACAGAACACTTTCAACCCATCCCCTCAAAAAGCCTATCCTTTCCAGTTGGAAGGGTGCCATCTGGGCTGTTGTCTGACCCGCTCATGTAGACAGTGGTAAACCCAAGTAAACCGTATTTGCTACTTCTAACACAGGCAATAGAGAGCTTACCTTTTGGGAATCCAAAACAAGTAAGATAACCCAGCGTTTTTATATATTGCTACACCACTAGTCCCAAATATATGCCATCTCCCAATTTTTTAAGGGGTTGGTATTTTTCTGTTTAAAATAATTAATGCAGAAACTTATTCTTTATATTTCCAGTGCAAGCATACTTCTTTCTGAGTAAAACGCATTTCTTCTCAAATACTTCTCTCCAAAGGGAGAACAAGTCAAATTTTACTGGCTTTTCAAGTGATGTTTTTTAAATACGCATTCTTGATAACCTGATTTGCTCTAATTCATTTTGTATTTTAAAAAAATAAAGTAAAAAGGAGTTAATATGACAGCTAAGTACCTTCACCAGGATTTAAGTTGTATATACAGATTACATCATGCCTGTCCTGAAAAGTTACATTTTTGGCAGAGAAGTGGCACTGATTGCATCTCTGGCCTAGCCAGTGAGAAAATGACTATGTTAAAAGGTGTATGTGTAATGCTGTATGCAACCCGTATACAGGTGCAGATACTGAAGACCTACCATGATGGTATTGTGGTAGATGGAATAAAAACACATTTGTGGAGAAAAATGTTTGCTATATTACCAGGTAGTTTTACTCAGAAGAATCGCTGCTTTGAAAAAAAAAAAAAAAAAAAAAAAGAAAAGAAAAGAAAAGAAAAGAAAAGAAAAGAAAAGAAAAGAAAAGAAAAGAAAAGAAAAGAAAAGAAAAGAAAAGAAAAGAAAAGAAAAGACAAAACAACCAAAAAGCACACGCATACCCTAAATAATATCTACAAAAAGTGGAACAGCTCCCCTGGCCCATTTGAGTAAATGCATAGTTTATAGAAACAATTCTGGAAGAAAGCCTGGGGGAAATTGCATCCAGGTTCATAGGGGAGGAGCAGGGATTCCATTAAACCTGTGCCCCCAATCCAGGGATAGTTAAGAGCCAGGATGCTACTCCTCAAGGCGTTTTCAGTTTGCTGTCATTTTCTCCACACAGGGAAAGAGGCATCAGGCTGAAGTCCAAGGCTCCTCTTTGTGAGATGCTATTATAGCATGTACCAGAGGTAGACCTTGTCTTTTGTGCTAAACACGATGTATAAATAGGAAAATCTTTTCAAGCTCTAAGAGCACAGGAGATTATCAGCCTCCTCCTGCCCTGCAAACTGTTTAGACTTACTGCAGTTTTGGGTAAACTGTTCTCCTAGGAAATGTCTGGGACCAGAAATAGCACCAATGAAGGATTTGTCATGGTGTGCATGTGTTTACCTGCTCTATACTCCTTCAGAGTCCACGCAGTCTTTCCTCTGACTTCCGTGGCCTTTAGATCGAACCCCTTCTGAACACAGCAGACCCGATTTATCCAAGGTTGTGCTCCATGTTATTGTTTGTACCCTGTCAAAATACTTGTAAAACACTGTGAGGTCAGACCAGCAGTTTTTTCGATCAGCCTACAGTTCGCTATATGAGCAGCAATGCCTAGAACAGTCAGGCTCCACAGGTTTAAATTTGCGATTAATCATTTTCTGTCATATTCACGGTAGTACAAAAATAAATGATGAAATAGCATTGTGTATTTGTGGGAGAGCCATTTTATCAACACTAGCCACTTCCAGATATGACAACCAACAGGATAAATTTGGTTTAAATCTGTTAAAAATGCTAGTATTCATTATTAGAAACAGGGGAAAAAAAAAAAAAAAAAAAGAGGCCTTTTCACAATATTTCAGTAATATAGATATCATTTGATCTGAATGTGAAACCAAAAACTGGTTTGAGCTGATGTGTCTGTCTGATCCTGGAATCTCGCCAACATCCAGACACCTGACAAAAGCTTTCTGCCTCTGCAAGGAGGAGTTCGGCACATCTTGGGGGGCCGTCTCCAGACACAGCAGGGAGCACTGGTACTGGAGGTCTACAAACAAGCGCAGGATAGCTCAAGTGTCAATCATGAGGCTCATGTGCGGCATTAACCGGCAGCTCCGCAAACATCTCGGTTCCAGGTTTTACCACGTTAATCCTAATGGGAAGAAAGCCAAATGAGCTTCCACGGACTCTGAATTTATGCTTTGTCCACTGGTTCTGTCTCCAATATTTCTGTTCTGTTTACTGATACTTAACTAGAAATTAAAGTTTTAATTGTTTACATTCATGGTGCTTGTAACCAAATTTTGGAATAACTGAGTGTCCTACTGTCAGGAAAAACAGAGATGATATTGTACTGAAAACTTTTTGCCTATAGTAAAGAAAGCCAGATTTTGAAGAGTGTTTCTCTGAAGGGAGGCTTCATCAATTCTCTTGCCATTATTTAAGAAGGGGCTGATCTCTTCAGAGAGTTGAATATGCACAAGTTTCATGGCATTTACTTATGTATCGTATTGTTTCGGTTAAATTATGAACAATGTCATTTGAGAGCTGCAGGTTTACCCTGAACTTTCTCTCCTTCTCACCCCAGAACCTGTTGTTTCTGTGAAATAAAATAGAGATGAAAAGTCAGTTGTGCTTAACCTTCTGTGTCTTCATTTGTGAAGTATTGTAGACTCACTGACTATTTTAACTAGGCTTCAAAATGAATGCAGTGACACAAGCTCTCCAGCTCTTGGCAGTGCGCACCGGTCGGATAATTACAAAATAAACATAGCAAAAATACTTTTATGTTGGACTCAGCTTTGCCTCTGCAGACCATATCTTTTGTTTCTCACTGTGTTATTGTAAATCATTTGCTCCAGTAAAGCTGAATGATAGAATAGGAGCTGTGACACATATTGGTAATCCTCCATGCTTAAATCCCATCTCAGTTTGTTTCATGTACGTTGGTCTTCATAACAGTGCATGCCTCTTATTTCCATCACTGTGTGGTGTTATCTATTACATATTTCTTTATTCCCCTCACGGGACGAGTCTGCATGTCAACATTATATTGTATATGCAAAGCGATGTAGATTTGGCTTTGTTTAGTTTTTATGGTTTTATGGTTTAACATTGTGGGTTTTAAATGTATTTATATGGCAGTTATAGAATCGTAGAAACATCAGGAGTTGGAAGAGGCCTCTGGAGGTCGTCTAGTCCAAAGTGTCTGCTGAAAGCAGGCACAAAGCTGCTCAAACCTCAGGGCTTTGAAATTAAATCAGGTTGTTCGGGACCTTGTCCAATCAGGTTTGAAAATACCCAAAGGCAGCATTTTCATAGTGTCGCTGGGCAACTTCTGCCAATGCTTAACCACTGTCACGGTGAAGAATTACTTCCTAATCTGCAGTCAGAATTTCCCATGTTCAAACTTGTGATCTTTTGCTTGTGTTTTGCTGTGTACCACTGAGAAACTCTGACTGTCTTCTCTATAATCCCCCATTAGATGGTGGAACACCGCCATCACTCTTGCAGCCTCTCCTTGTGCATCATACACTATAGTTCCCTGACCATCTCAATCGCTCCAGCCGCTCTGAACTCTTTCCAGTTTGTCAATATCTCTCTCATACTGGGGACCCCAAAACTGCACGCAGCACTCTGGATGTGGTTTGCAGAGTGCTGAGTAGGCGGGAAGAATTATTTCCATCAACCTGATGGCAACTGCCTTGCTTATACCACCCAGTGTGCTGCTGGCCTTCTCACTACAAGGGTGCACTGCTTACTCATGTTCAACTTGCTCTTCACCGCGACCCCGAGATCCTTTTCTACAGACCTTCTCCCTAGTCAGTAGGTACCAAACCTGTGCTGTGGTACAGGGTGAGTCCACGTGAGGTGCAGGACTTGCATTTGTCTTTGTTGAAGTTTGTGAGGTTCTTGTCGGCACCTTCCTCCAGCTAGTGAAGGTCTTTGTGAATGGCAGGCCTACTTTTCAGTACATCAGTCACTCCCCCTAGTTGGGAGTCATCTGCAAACTTGCTGAGGCTGCATTTCATCCCCTTATGCAAGACATAGACAAAAGCAGTTAACAGTACAGGCCCCAGTGTTGACCTCAGAAGAATGCCACTTGCATGGCATTCTAACTGGCTGCCTCTTAGACTTTAAGCTGTTGTCCAGTACCGTTTGAGCCTGACAGTCCAGTCAGTTATTCACCCACAGTGTAGTCCATGTTTCCTTGATTTAGCTGCAAGGATACTGTGGGAAACTATGCTGAAAGCCTTGCTGAAGTCAAGCAAAATGACATCCACTGTTCTTTCTCCACCCACCAAGGAAGTCATCTGATCAAAGATGGCAATCGGGTCAGTC